CTAGCACATTATAAAGAATTATAATAAGTCTGTCTATGTTATTCAAAAGAAAAATACACGTATAAATAATAAGTTCATGACGTATCTTGTTACTATAATATGAGGCCGATAGAAAGAACAGAGTGAAAAGGCTTTAATTGTTGTAGCAAGCTTACCATCTTGACCTTTTTTATCTGCTTTCACACATAAATGTTAGCGTATATTCACAAAAGTAAACAAAAAATATTAATTCACATCCATCATCTTCCAATCATTGTACCAAAAACATTTGAAGCTACCAAGTTGTGACGTAAAAAGTACTAAAAAATGACTAATTTTTTATGTGAAACAAGTGTATTATATTCCACACGCTATGGCTTTCCTTGCCAATGTTTCAAGATCGTTTTTTTGACGTTTTGTTTGATCATTAAAATTAAATTGTGCGAGTTTGTCTGTGCACTTATATTGCACATGTTCTCTTGAACTCTTAGTTTAACTGAACAACGCAGGAATACCTTAGCGCGTATAGTCATTAAGACCTTAAGAAGTAACCTTTATTAATATTATATATTAGCATTTCCCGCGGCTCCGCCCGCGTTCAGATAATCAAAAACCAAATTCCTAGGTTTTACATATTAGTATACTCTTACATTGCAGTTTTTGTATTTTTTCTCAGAAATGAGACATTTTCCCGCGGTAAAAAGTATCCTGTATGTTGACCCCGATAACCAGCTATTAGTATTCCAAATTTCATCAAAATCCCTTCAGTGGTTTTTCTGTGATGCGGTAACAGACAGACAGACAAAAATTCTAAAAACTATAGATTCGGCTTCTGTATCGATAATAATGTTAATTTCAATAAGATTTTCCAAAAAAATATTTAATGTACAGATTCGGCTTAGTTACAACTTTATTATATTTGTTGGTTTCACTCTGTTCTATTACTAGGTAATGAAGCAACTGGTCGATGTGGCTTATAAATAATTAATTTTAGCAAAAAAAAAACCAATAACAAGCGGAATGTAGAGACCGAGAAACGGAGTAAAGTTGCGACAGCTACTCGTCAATAATAATTTAAAACCAAAATCATATCAGAAATGCATTTTTAATTGAAATATATATTATATATTCCAGTTAATCAAAAGCAAACGTGTGTTTTATACACGTGCTTCTTAAGTAAAATTCATTTTACGTCATAGATGTTAAGAAACTTTAAACTAGATGCGACTTGGATTTCCATTATTTATAATATCTGAACGAGCACAATAAAACGGTCATGTTGCATAGTTATAATGTAATATAAGTATGCATACATATATATGTGGACATTGTACATAGAAACATATTTGCAGATAAAGCCTTTTTTAACTCTTGCAAATTGACAATAGTGTGAATTCTAATTTTTATCATAAACTTTGCTGATCGAGTAACTGAACCGATGTTTGTCATGAAAATTAAGTAACATTCTCGTTATCTCTCTATCATCCGGTTTGGTTAAGACAAAGCAGCATAGGTGATGATGACAACCATCCATTACGCAGTAATAAAGCAGATGGGACAAGAAAAGGGGAATAAGACAAGGGGAACAAGACAGAAGAAAATTCTTTATATTTTCGTCGTGACGATAGATCAATATAATTATGGATATTATTGAACTTTAATAAGTATAATGTTCACCTGACCAATTTAGCACACAGTGGCCAATCTCAATGGAACTAGCCAAGTGCGCTCTCTAATCCTTCCACTTCCAAAGTCCCACGTGACAACAATTCGATACAACCTGTTTGGCTCAGGACTAATGCTTTGCGCATTCCCCGAGGCACGGGGGACGGAGGTGTAACACCGCCAACTTGTAACCAACCAAACCAAACCAGGCCATTTCTGAAAATTTTGTAACTTTTTTTTCTCACAGGAAATCTTACATTGTAAATTATATGTGGCCTTTGTTTTCGTCTTCAGTTCAACATATTATTTATTATTATATTAGTAGAGCTCAGCTCCAGACTTATATCTAGGAAGTTATTTTGTTATATCAATTTCAAGTTAAGGGTTTTGAAAGGGAAAAAGATCGAAGTTATTTTAAAGGAAAATAATTTTAAAACTGGAGAACAACGAGTTACAAATTACTTACTTTCTACGTAGATGGCTCTATTTAGATAGTCATCAACGTCACCGGCATCTTTACATTTGAAGATAATTTTATAAATATACAACAGATTAGATATGTTTGAGGAACTTCAATTAGCAATTAAGATAACTATAGATAAGAAAACTAAATTAATGGCTCAAAGTTGTGCTCATTGAAACAAAAAAAAGCAGTCATGAGGACTGTCGACAGAAGTGAAAACTTAAAACTATAAACAAACAGTTGTTATTTTTGGATATTCAAAGTAATTGTTTGATCTTAAATTAAAATTTGTAAATTAAAACTGTTTACATTTATCTTTCGTTTATCGTTTTGACATATATCGGCACCCTGAGTGTTAGTGTTAACACGTCACGTGACCATGTGACCATGTGGATATTGTTTTTCACAGTTTTTCTAATCCATACTAACCGTTAAAACGTACATAGGGACGAGCTGGAGCGAAGCGATGGTGAGTCGCTTGTATATTATAAAGCAAGTAACATCGTGAAATATTATTCTTAAAATTTTACTTTTATCTCACGGGAAAGTCTTATGGAATCGTTAACGGGAAAAACTTGGGTGACCCTGTTCAAGATGCGTGTGTGCCAAATTTTATGATAGGTGGTCGAAGCTTTGCGGCAATGCGGTCACCAAAGGTTACAATCAAACAAAAAATCACGCTCGTTTTCACGTCCAATATGCTTATAAGAAAAAAATGATTACAGGTTTATATTAGCATATACTCGTATTTCGATAATCGGAATGCAAAAAAAATAGTTATTTGGCAATTTTGTTTTTTTATTTTATTTATGAGTACTTAAATATGTTAACATATAATCATAGAGATATGTATTAATCTTTCAAATATAATCGTTAACTATTAAGTAACAAAAAACTTAAGAAGTCAACGGAAAACTACTGTTAAACTGGCAAGTATTCTTCAAATCTTGGCACGTACAAAATCTGTTATAAATTGGTATTACGAGGTTGCTAACTGCGATTTTATTTTTGTGCATAAGACATTTCAATTGTACTAAAACTTTGTTATTGCTTATATTTTATTGTTCTTCAAGTAAACTTATTCATTTAGGTATTAATAACATATTTGTTGAAAAAATATTTTAATTCGTCTACTGTGAAGATAATTGTTAGGATACTAGTATTTCTCAATTAATGATTTATTGTTTTTATAGCCTTCGACTTCATTTATTAATTGATTGATATCGTGATATACAATCTTACATTATTACTAGAGATGTGCCGACTACGACTTAGGCCGACTAGCCGACTAGTCGGCTGCAAAGAGGCCGACTAGTCGGCCCTTTTTGCCGACTATTCGCCGACTACGAAAGTGGCCGACTAGGCGGCGACTAGTCGGCACATCTCTAATTATTACATTTATTTTTAATTAGTTGGTTTTTTTTTTTTAATTTAAATATGGCGAATAATCTTAAGAACTACAAATGTAGAGTAAAAATGAAAGAAATATATTGATGAGTTGCTTAATAAATAATAAGTATTCTTGAAAATGAATTGAATGATTGAAAAATCTAATCCAAATCAATCATTGTTTCAACTTCATTAAAATTATATTGTCAACATAAAAAGGCATTGATGCGTTTATTGGCTCACCTTTTTTAACAGCAATAGATTAGAACGTGTAGGAGGATCATGTGTGTGTGTGTGTGTGTACCTTATACAGGGACGTGCCTCAATAAAGCAAAGGCGTGTCACATACATCAATGCTGCAAATAAACAAAATCAAACAAGATTCTCAGAGATGTCAGATGAGATATTTTCCCGCAGTAAAAAGTATCCTATATGTTGACCCGGATAACCATCATTAAAATCTGTCCAGTGGTTTTCTTTTGATGCGTTCCCAGACAGACAGACGGACAAAAAAACAGACAAGAAATCTAAAAACTATAGATTCGGCCTCCGTATCGATAATAATAATATTAATGACTACTTCAATAAGATTTTCCAAAAAATATTCAATGTACAGATTCGACTCAGTTAGAATTTTATTATATATATATCTAAATATCAATCCTTCCTCACTTTAAATCTAGCTTATATGTAATTAAAGGTTATATGTTATATGAGAACGACGTATTCCGTGAACATTAGCATCAGCTGTAGCCATATATTATAATGTATATATACATTGGTATGTGTACACGTTGATAACATTTTTACCCTAATCATCGCCATAGACAGAAGACATTGCGCGTACAGCCTCGGTGAACGCAAGAAGTTTGCTAAAATTTCTACGTTGTGATTGGAATAATAAACGATCAAACGAACTTATTAAGTAAATTTTGATTATTACTATACTCTGCTTTTTCATTCGAAGTATATTTATGTTTATGTCCAGTGAAAAGAATACGACGAATTAAAAATAAATGAAAGTTGCCAGTGTAATCATAAAACTTTTGATCTAAACATAATCTCTTATGTACGTGTATAGTGTTGCTTGATTTTGAATTTTAATTTTTTTGTTACAGATCGTATGGCAAGACCGAATTAAATCGTCAGCAAAAGTGTTACTATAAAAGGTTTGCTTCGAATGATTTATCGTAATTCTTCTTTCTATTTTATTGTATTTAAAAACTATAATAAGAATAGCGAAAATATATTTAGCTGCGTAGTGGCATGCATAACGTTTGCATAGCGCTAGCCCGATGTAAATATTACGTATCCTCGATACCTATTCAAATAAATCAAATGGGTTGAATATTTGTTTGTTTACTATTTCTTATGTTTATTGATCTTGCTTGATAATGAGGCTTGATAGATACGATTTATACATAATAATTGATTCGTAGTATTTAGATAACATCGAAAGTACTTTATAGGTATGTATTTATATATAAAAATTGTTGCAGCCAACATGCCCCGTCTCGAGCAGCCACCACCGGAAGACTTTCGTCGTGTTTTGCGCGAAAAGGCCTTAAGTCATAGTTTGTTTTACCTGAAGCTCGGCGCAGGAGTGCCTCCAGGGCAGGCCAAAGAGCAAGCGTCTTTGTCGAGGCGAGCGAGCGACAGTACGGGCATGCGTGCGCCGCCGACCGCGCGCGTCTCTCGACACGCGCAACCGCGCGTCTCGGAACTACTTCGACGATTTGAACCTGGTCCGATGCAATATCTACGTATACCACGCGCTTCCAGTCCTCATGAAGATATCAGCTCGTCAGATGATGATGACAGAGCAGCTGTGAGGCGTCGCAGCCGAGATCTGAGTGACGACTCGGCGGTAGAAGTGGAACCGAGAAGACGGCATTCGCACCCTCGCGATATAACCCCACCGCCGGACGCTATGTCGCCTAGACGGGAGATGACGTTGATAGAAGCTCATGTAGTGGAACTAGGCAGGCGGGGCAGCGAAGGGTGCGAGACAAGGGGCAGGTGTGTGAGAACCCCAAGCGTGGTGGTCAGTGATTATTCTGATGGTGTGGCAGTGGGCGCTACAGAGGAGGAGGTGGATTGGCTAAGGTCGAGGTCTCTGTCAGCAGATTCAGCATGCTCGTCGTGCTCTACTCTCTCCAGCCGCGATGATGAGGAATTCGAGTCTCCAACGCTACCCAAAAAGGCAAGTCTTTTGTTATTATTTTAATTTAATTGTATATACTATTTTAGACGAAAATATATTTATCTAGGCTGTTATCTAGGCTGTATAAAATTTATCGACTTGTTGGCTTAATTTATCTTTGCGACTTGTACATAATTAAAAGTAGATATCTTTATTTCTTCTTGACACATATTTTAATATGCGCTCTAGGCAACCTGTGGTAATTTAATCAAATAAAGGTCCTGTAAAGGTTTCGTTAAAAATATTCTATGGCAGTTTTTAACTTTACGTTAAATTTTGAGATATTTTTATAGCGCTAGGATTTAGGAAAAAGAAAACTATTATAGGTATACTATATGAAATAAAATTAGTTTATTATTTCTACGTTAATAATTAATTTAAATTTCTAAAAATATTATGTCTTATTTTGCGTATACTACATATGTATACAGTTATAATATTTTATAAATGCGAAGATAAAAAGAAAAATCATGAAATAACTATATATAAATCTAAAATTTCAGTTATATATTATTTTTTAAATTAATACCATACCATTTTCTTGCCCTCAAACAAATGCAAATCTCCAACCTATCCAAACATATCCAAATATATCCAAATTCTTGGGTATAAAAGTAAACTGTTCTTTGTCTGAATGAATTACAAGACCCTCTTCAAAGTTAGGTCACGCATTGTACATAACTGTTAAAATATAGGACATCGATACTAATATTATAAATGGGAAAGTGTGTTTGTTTGTTTGTCTTTCTTTCACATCGAAACGGAGTAACAGTTCAACGTGATTTTTTGTGTGGAGATAGTTGGAGGGCTGGAGAGTGTCATAGGCTACTTTTTACCGCGGAAGATAATCTCATTTCCAGGGGAAAACGTTATAATTCAACCCAAAAATAATTTATGATCAGAATTACATGAAACTTGGTATTAATGGTCTTCAATACAATTAATTATATTTCGATATCGAAATTCATCCCATAAGAGGGTAAAATAGGGCATGAAAGTTTATATAAAACCTACTGAGCATACAGAGCGAAGTCGCGGGTTCTGCTAGTTTGTTATAATGTACATATTATATGACGTCAATTAATGTTTGTCTGTGAACCCGTTTAGTACAGTATTAGCCCTTTGTAGAAAGGAAATTATTAATATATTTTCTTTGCAAAATAAGTCATACAAAGTCATTATCCTTGACATAGATTGGTAGTTAGTACCTACGTAAAGCTTGCACGATTAGGTCTTTCATATGTTTTGATATTACTATTTATTCTTAGGACATTTACAAAATTGATGACAAACGTTTACCTATGAGTTGATTAAAAAAAAGCCAATTTTAATCTATATATATATATATAAAACAAAACTGGGTTTGTTACTACACTTATAACTCGAGAACGGCTGGACCGATTTTTATGGTCTTTGTTTTGTTGGATTTTTCTTAAGCTCCAAATAGCAGAACATTAAAATTAAAACATTAAAACATGGGAAAAATTCTCGAATAATTTTTTAATAAAAAATCTATTCCATACTAAGCGTAAGCCTGGGGACAAACCTGAGCGAAGCGAGGGTGAGTCGCTAGTTTTAAATAATATTAAAAGATAGATTAAGCTTTTGCTATCTGTCTCTTTATAATCATTATTTATTGTTATTTCCATTGTCTAATTTTTGTTTAACTAATCTTTATGGAAAAAAAAATTGTTTTATAAGTTAGTTCAGTCTTACGTTTCTGAATCGAACTGCTAAGGAGTGGAACACCCTTCCAGCATCCGTGTTTCCTGCCACCTACAATCCAAGTACCTTCAAGGCTAGAGTGAACAGGCATTTTTCTAGGCAAGCGCGCTTCAACTTAAACCTTATCAGTGCTTCCCAGCGCTGATTGTAGTCAAACGCAAGCCTATCGTTCAATAAAAAAAAAGTTAGTATCTACTAAAAAAATTAATGAAATGCGATTCAAACATACTGCTGCTAATTTCTAAATACATTTTTACACTATTTTATACGATTTTAAATATATATAAGTAAACCTATTACTAAATATATACTTCTAACTTTTCTTTAGCTTTATAAATTAATTCCCACAATTTTTAACTCTTTGGTATAGCTTAAAATATGTAAATTCGAAAATTTTTGACAGTATTTTGCAAAAGTCTTTTGCGCTATTAGTAAAATACTTTTTATTTCAATATTGTTAGTAGATTCGTGCTTTAATTATAGCACGAATTAAATACAGTTATAAACAATTCTAAAACTTGCCAAATATTATACATATAAAATTAAATGTAGCATGCACACTGACCAGATGAAATTGAGGCCAATATAGGATTGAATTTTGGTGTAGCAGTTGGTAATAGAAAGGCGAACTTTATTTATACATTGCATCTATGTATTTAAAAATATAAAAAAAACTGCAGGAAATTATATACTGAGTAGGAACCAAAATAACTGTTTTTATTTTTGAATGCTTTTGAAAAACGGAAACGGAAATGATAGATATCAAATATAACTTTATAATTTAATTGTATAACTTAAAGAGTGTCTTTTTAGACCATTATTTTTTGAAATTACTAACTCTCGTTATAGTTTTATTGAGCTGAGTTTTATTTTTTATCTTTCATAAAAGTCATAAATGAGGAACCCTGATGGAATTATATTTTCAAGCAAGAGCGCCAAAAAAGTACGTGAACATTTAAAAACATTCTGTTTTTTTATGTATGTTTCTATATTATGTCATAATTGATTTGTTTTCTATATATGGGTAATATATACTGAATAATAATTATCACGTGGGGAATAAATATTTCCTTAATATCCGTTTAAACAGTTTTCTCTATGTACAAGTATGGAGTATGTGTACACGACCAATGACGCACGCTCTACAATAATAATTAATTTAGGTTAACTTTACCTATTTGTGTTTGACATAATTTTTTTTTGCTATAATGAGTATTGTAATGTTTTTTATGTTATATTTAATAAAAGATAATATTTTTTAAATATACTTTTGCAGTAGACTTAGAGTAAGGTTTAATCATTTAAATTTTAAAGTTTAAAGGGTTCTGTATGAAAAACTTTTTCAAAAGTCTACCTTATGCTGCCAGAAATATAATTAATTTACATATAAGTCTATATATATAATTAAAAGTTACTTTGTAACATACTAATGTTTATCCAAAGATGTACCAAAGTATATAACTATATAGCTTTTAAATTTTTTATCCATATCCATACTATTATACTATAAGTGAAAGTGTGTTTGTTTGTTTGTCCTTTCTCACGTCAAAAGAGAGTGACGTAGGCTACTTTTTACTGCGGGAGATTATCTCATTCTCACGGAACAACACGTTATAAATTATAATACAGCCCAAAAATTATTTATTATCAGAATATCTTGAAACTTGGTATAAATGCTCTTTAATACAATTAAATAAATACGTGTATTAGCATATTTCAAAATTAATTCTATAAAGTGGTAAAATAGGGGATGAAAGTTTGTATGAAACCTACCTTTTAGATTTTTTTCGTATTTTCAGCGCGAGCAAAGCCGCAGGTTCTGTTAGTTATTCAATAATATTCCAATCCAGAATATTTTTTGTACTTTTAACAAGAACAAATGCTAATTAAAAGTGCTAGTGTAGTAAATACTTTATAAAATCTGGTAAAATTCCACAGTAAGATAATAACAACTGTTGCAGTCGAATTATCATTTTAATCCGGTAGTTTTCATATTATTTGTTGTTGTGTTGAACGGATGCCCACATCCGTCAACGTCGGTATTATCCTTAATATTAAATAGAGCGAATCTAGAGCTTAATAAAACCCAATGTACCATTTACATCTTATTTCAAGCGAAAAAAATATAAATATAACTAGCTACCCGTCCCGGTTTTTCTTAGCTCCTTATTGCACTATGGTAATTGTAGTACCTAACTATATATAATATATACAATTTTTTTTAATATATAGTAACTTTTTCTTTGTACATATATATAAAATGAATAATGCATGCGTCGCTCTCCGGCTCATAAATTCGGTGTAAAAATACCGTAGATTCGTTGTTCCTTTGTTAGGCAGACAGAAAGACATACATACTTTATAAAGCAATAAGCAATCTTTCGGATTAATAATATTAGTAAAATTGCAAAAAACCAAAATATCTAAAAAATAAGCTAATTCCTACCTATAAATCGAATAAAGCATACCTTAGATCTCTATCATTTTAAAGACCCGCTTTGTTGTTAGCTTCAAAATAACAAAAATCCAAAACAACTAGTCGCTAGCAAGAATTAACGCATATTTATTTAATAATTTAAGTCATTGGACGACACGTTTGGCTCTGTTTGTAGTGACCCTACTCACTGTGCCAGTGGTCGCGGGTTCGAGTCCCGCTGGGGGCATTCATTTGTGTGATGAGCACGAATGTTTGTACTCCAGTCATGGGTGTTTATATTTATAATATATATATTGTATGTATTTAAAGTAATATATGTGTAATGTATCAACTATCTGGTATCCATAACACAAGCCTTGTAGCTTACCATGGGACTAGATGGTGCTGTGTGTTAATCTCCCAACATATTAAAAAATACATAACGTAGAAATACCTGGAATTATTAATGAATTGATTAAATAGCTGACGAATTGATAAAATAATTAAAATCTTAACACCTCCAGGTAAACTTTTAAGAAATTAAAAGAATTCTAAGGAATCTATTGTTATCTGTAACGCCGGCGTGTCCGCGGTCGTTGAGGGATTAAGAATAAAAAAAATACATATAAAATAATATATCTATCGTTAATTTTATTTTTACATTTTACGTAAGTTATACTTACCATTTCAGTACCACCAAAAGTATACTTGAATATAACATTATGTATAATATATTTCTTATTAAATAGTTGATACCCCGGAGGAGTCCAATATAAAAATTCTACCTCTGAGAGTGGAGTGACTAATTACTTATATAATACTAATTAAAATACGTAAAACGTATGCTAGTATTATAATTAAATATTTCATTTTGTTTCACCAAATAAGTTTTTATATATTTTTAGTCATAAAACTTTTAAAGGCACTTTATTTTTTATGAAAACTTAGCAAAGCAGAAATGAATGCATATTTTGATTACTTAAAAAACAAAAATAACTTTTGCTGACGTATGTATGCTCAATATGTGACGTATGCGAATAACATTTTCTGAATTTTAATTTTGAATCAAATAATTTAACTGGAGACTGTATTAAATAATTTTAATTTAAATATGTATAGAAATTAGCATATTAAAGTTATAATTTATCTTATATAAATATATTTAATTGCTAAACAATAATAACCACAGAACAATTTAATGCTTAATAATATTTGTTGGGAGTATTGCAATATGTTATTATTATGAAATAAATTCATAATTATTATCCTCAGACGGATCCGTTTTCTGTTTCTTATAAATGATGATGTGTTTATAATTTAAATTTACGTATAACACCTTATCTAATATATATGTATTTATTTATTACAATATTTTTTACGTATTATAAAACACAATGCCTTTCTGCTTGTCCAGTTATGCCCTTAAGGTCGTGAACCACTGACCTGATTATGTCTAGTATTTTTAGAAAAAGTACAAACATTTATGTACTGCAAGATGGTTTAAAAGCGTATTAAGTAATGTGATATGTCTTACCTAACACTACCAAATTCACTAAGCATAAAAAATATATTACAAAAATATATGAAAAACTAAAACAAATCTATTCCACGAGGAGCGTACATTTTTCCGGAATATAAAGCAGGTTATGTATTATTCCAGACTATAACCTATCTCTGTGCCAAATTTCATCCAGATTAATTCAGCCGTTTTGGGGTGATAGAGTAACAAACATACATCCGTCCAAACTTTCGCATTTATAATATTAATGGGATTATGCCTGTATTGAAAGTAGTTTTATTTAACTAAGGAGGGAACAGAGTAATTTTTCATCTATGTAACATATAATAAAATTCTGAGTGGAATCTGTACATTAAATATTTTTTGGAAAATCTTATTTAAATAGTTATAATTAATAAGAGGCCGAAACTAAAGTTTTTAGAATTTTTGTCTGTTTGTCTGTCTGTGACCACATCATGGAAAAACCACTGGAGGGATTTTGATGAAATTTGGTATGACGATAGCTGGTTATCCGGGTCAACATATAAATAACAATTCTACTGGAGTAACTGCTAGTTTTCCATTAACAAAACAAACTAAAACGTAGCAGCTCAGTGTACATATCAGAATTCAACCACGTATAATTGGTCTATTACTAAACATAAATTAAAGAGCTAATCTTATTTTCTAGTCATATAGCGAACAAATCGTTAAGTTTATCTTATAGGTGTATATTCAAAAACACCTGAAAAATATATATTAAATAAGCTAAATTTAGATTGCGTAATTTTTTAAGCATAATTTAAATTTTAAATTGAACAATAAATGCCCATTCGTATGCAGAAGGTCGTTGGTTTAGGTTCCGTACGATGTGATTGTTATATACAGGATGCGAAATTTCGTATTGTATTTATTTTTTTGTTAATACGCGCTAAATGCTAATTTGGTTGAATTTGCCAGACTTGTAAAATATTTTTAAGCCTGTTTGCCTATTTGTTGAGGAAGGTTACATGCATAAATAACTAAAAAAGTAAAATAAACTATGCGAGCGGAGCCACGGCCACGAGTGTCTTCATATTATAAATTCATAGATGTTTAAATAAGTTGGAAAGCACTGGAAAAATTATATTTGTCCCATATAATTATCATATGGGACCTAGAGGATATTACAAAAAAACACTAGCGACTATGATATAGTAAAATTCTAAAACTATATATTTATATAAAAACCATTCAGTTATCAGACTCTACATATCAATAAATTTCGAGTTCACGAAATTAATACTATATTATAGAGCTCTATGCATTTTTTACAAAACTAAACTTAGCGTTGATCACTTACAATAAATAAAAGTAAACGCTCTCTTATGCATATTGTTTGGAAACGTACAACAATAGGTATCTTCCACGCGAGAAACGCATTGTAAATGGTTAATTATCGACTCGCTTGGAACTTCGTAAATGAAACGTCCGATATGCAAGTAAAAAAGGAGACAATAGCTTGTTATGGTTATGCCTTGTTGCGGCCATAGTAAACTGATAGTTTTATTTTTTATAGCTGTCCCCACCCACCATTGACGTCAATCGACCGGTTTGATGATTGTGAAGTCGTGTCATGTGTGTGCGTGCAGGGTCAGGGCTTGCATAACGGTGTAATCATACTTACTATTATTTATTATATATTATACTAGCATTGCCCGCGGCTCCTCCCGCGTTCAGATGACCAAAAACCAAATTCTTAGGTTTTACATATTAGTATACTCTTACATTGCAGTTTTTGTATTTTTTCGCAGTAAACAGATACTTTCCCGCGATAAGAAGTATCCTATATGTTGACCCGGATAACCAGCTATCACCATACCAAATTTCATCAAAATCCCTCCTGTGGTTTTTCTGTGATGCGGTAACAGACCGACAGACAGACAGACAGACAGACAGACAGACACACAGACAGACAGACAGACAAAAATTCTAAAAACTTTAGATTCGGCCTCTGTATCGATAATAATGTTTATTTTAATAAGATTTTCCAAAAAATATTTAATGTACAGATTCGGCTTAGTTATAATTTTATTATATGTATGTATATAGATTACCTACTAGGTAATATGATAAATATTAATTACAAAAGTTTGTATGCATGGGTTTATAATAGGCAATTATTGGACATGTTTTAAGTGGATGGAAAACTACGTAATTTATTTCGCTACATAGACAAATTGGAATTGTATTTACTATTTAAGTAAAATATGTAACAGAGTATGCTTGTTACTACTTCACTCTGAAATGGTTGGACGGAAAAAAACTATAAAATAACACCATGGGACACAACTGACCTAGAATTTAAAGTCGCTAGTTTATAAAAAAATTTTTGCGTATTAACATGTGAGGCAATATTTAATTTATTTATTATTTATTTTGACTTTAGTACCAACATCGCATTTTATTTCATTCATTTTGTCAAATTAGAGTAAATAAAAGATGACCAGACTGTTCTTAATGCTTATAGCTATAGATAAGCTATGTCTATATTGAAGTTATTTTTTTTTTACATTCCTTATATCCATGACACCCATATAATTATAGAACAAATGTTGGCCTATAATAATGTAATATCATAAAATATATGTAATATCATAAATCACTCTATGAATGTATAATAAATATTATTTGGTATAGATAATAATTATAAACTTATTTAAAAAAATATTAAACTAATTTAATTAAATAAAGTGATTTTGTTGATCCTGTTGTTGAACTATTTTAAGTCAATTGATTGTCTCGGGTAGTTAATAAAAATGTGACACTGTCTTAATATAGCTCAGTTCTTAATCAACTTTTGTAAAATAAGGAATAAGAAAAGTGATTGTGTAAGTGTTGAAACGTGAGAGTAAATTCACTAAGTGCAAGTAACGTGTTTTATTGAAAAAATCGCCAACCCAGAAGTTAGTGCCAACATTTCAGAAGTGGGATAAGGTGAGTAACAGAATTTTTTTTTTCTTTTGCTTACCTGCCAAGCCTACAAATATTTCTACATAATATAAAATTAGAAAGTTACTTTATATGAATTTAAAAATGTATTGTATAATATTCCAGTAAAAATATCAATTGTGTTTATGAAATATACATAAATTTTTTGTCTTTATTACTTTTCGTTTTTCTGTTGTTTTGTTGGATAAAATAACGTTGTTAATACGTGATACGGTGTATAATGTGTATAACCTTTGTCAGTCTAAACTTTTACTTTAAATTGTTGTTGTACAAATGATGTGTCGAAAATATTTCAACAGTGAAATGGGAAACGATGAGAGCCCCAAGGCGTCAGTGGATCGGCGATCGCGGAGTAGATTGAAGTCCACTAGAAGTCAGCGTCGTGGTGATAGCAGTCGCAGTGTGCGAAGCCATGCGAACCACCATCACCAGACCCGCAGTGGTCGCTCGCCCAGCCGACGGTCGCGCAGCCGTATGTGTGTGCAGTCACGCAGTCGCGCTGATCATCGCAGGCACAGTCGTGCCAACTACCGGACGCGCAGCCGCAGCAGCCACCGATCGCTAAGTCCTACCAGTCACCGTTCACGCAGCCGACCTGTACACAGCAGGGCCGTGCAGCGTGGCCATACTGAAACCAGCCAGATGCAACGGCAACAACAGCAAAGGTCTCCCCGACAAGTTTTAACACCAGACAGGTTAGTGCCAGAAACCTTGGGAAATAGTGTTACTCTTACACAGTTAATACAAGCATTACAAACTATAGGGAAAAATAATAGTAATGATAGATTACAGACACAAAATACGCTTCCAGACTTTGATCCCTCCCGTAAAGAACAGACCATTGATATGTGGTTGCACAAAGTAAATGAGTGTGCAGTTATTTATGACTGGACTGACAAACAGACAACTCACTATGCACTTCCAAAATTGAAGGGTACTGCTCAAAAGTGGTATGAAGGTCTCAATACTGTAATGTTTACGTGGAAGGAATGGCAAGATAAACTGCGCCTGGCTTTTCCTAACGATGATAACTATGGGCGATTACTCTCGACAATGTTAGCCAAACGTGCTAGGTTTAACGAATCTCTCGAGGATTACTTCTATGACAAAGTAGTTTTATTGAATCGTTGTGGCATTGAAGGGAAGAAAGCGGTAGATTGCATTGTATTTGGAATTGACGATCGTACTGTAAGGTTAGGAGCAGAATCGGCTCGATTTGAAACACCGGAACAATTGCTTCCGTTTCTTATAAGTACTAGGGGTACTAGTAATGTTAATGATAGAAAACGCGTTCGAAATACTGATTCAAGTGTAAGTAGGGATGATATCCGACGGGATCGCGTAATAATATGCTTTAATTGCTCACAAAGGGGTCATTATAAATCTCAATGCCCTAGCCCAATTATAAAATGTACTAAATGTTTACGTTTCGGACATACTTCGGATAAATGCGAGAATGGTAGCAAGACTTTAGTAAATACCAATAGTAAACTTACATCTAATTCCGTCATGCTTGTAGCTGGTATTAACGCTAACTGTCATAAGTATTATAAAGAGGCTATTGTAAATGGTATTTCAAAAACATGCTTTATTGATTTTGGTAGCGCAGTAAGTCTTATTAGAATGTCAGATGTAGAAAGTTTAAATGTCGAATGGATTCCTGATAATTCGATACCACCTCTGATAGGATTTGGCAACTCAATGGTTAAACCAATAGGTAAATTTTTGGCTACAGTTAAAATTGATCATGCTAGTGCTTTGGTAGAACTGGTTATCGTACCGGATGAAGTACTGAAAGAGCCGTTGCTAATTGGTAGATCATTTACTGAACAACCTCACATAATGGTTGAAAAGGATAATGTAATGTTGAAAATATTCTCAAATGAAATAGCACCAACACGTATTAAGTATAACCTTAATTGCTCCAAAGATACGATAATTGACGGACTGACATTAGTAGAATTTAGCACAGACCCTTCATTTACGGGCGATGTTTATATTGAGGGCAGCAATAGGTTCAAAAATGGGGAAGAACACTATCTGGTACAAGGATTGTTTTCCATTGTCAATGGTCTAGGTATAGCATTGGTGAAAGGGAATAGTTCGCGAACATTTATTATTAAACGTGGTACAGTAATAGCTAGGTGTATTCGAGCTGAGCCACTAAGTAATAATAATAAGCCTGACGTTCTCCGAATAGACGTACCTACATCTCCACGTAGTATTAGCAGTAATGAAATAATGTCCGATGGAACGCTAAGTACTAAAACAATTAATTCATTAATACTGTTGCTTAATAATTACAGACAGTGTTTTGCTTTTAATCTACAGGAACTTGGGAAAACTGATTTAGTAAATATGTCCATTAAATTGAAAGACGATGAGCCAGTAGTGTACAGACCTTATAGGTTACCTGTTTGCGAAAGGAATAAAGTGCGGGAGTTAGTTAACGAATTAGTCGACTGCGAAATAGTGCGACCTTCGACGTCACCTTATGCTAGTCCCATAGTCGTTGTTAAAAAGAAAACTGGTGAGGTACGCCTATGTGTCGATTATAGGGCCCTAAACAGAAAAACTTACAAAGAAAATTTTCCTTTACCCCGGATTGACGATCAATTAGATTCATTAGCAGGATATCAATATTACACTGTCCTTGATTTAGCTTCTGGTTATTACCAAATAAGTATAAACGAAGAAGATCGTTACAAAACTTCGTTTGTCACGCCAGATGGGCAGTTTGAATTTAATAGGATGCCCTTCGGGTTAGCTAACGCACCGGCAAATTTTATGCGTATGATCAATTTAGTTCTGTCTAGTGCTAGGGATATAGCATCGGCTTATATGGACGATATAATTATACCCTCAAATTCAATAGAAGAAGGATTAAGTAAGTTAGAGAAGGTTTTGCAGTTATTGTCGAACGCAGGATTAACATTAAAATTATCTAAATGCTATTTCTTTAGTAAATCTGTAGATTATTTAGGTTTTGAGCTCAGTAAGGAAGGCATTAGGCCAGGATCAAGAAAAATTCAGTCAGTCAAAGAATTTCCAGAGCCTTGTAATTTGCATACTGTTAGACAATTCATTGGGTTATGTAGTTTCTTTAGGCGGTTTATCAAAAATTTTTCGAATATTGCTAAGCCATTGACAAGTCTTTTAAAAAAAGATTCTAAGTGGGAATGGGGTTCTGAGCAGAAAACAGCATTTAACACTCTTAAAGAAATTTTACTGCAAAAGCCAGTTTTAAAATTGTACGATCCTAGTGACGATACCGAGTTGCATACGGATGCCAGTAAATTAGGTATTGCTGGGATCCTTATGCAGCGCGGGAGAGATAACCTACTCAGACCCGTTGCGTATTACAGTCGACAAACGACCATTTATGAACAGCACATGACAGCATACGAACTTGAAACTTTAGCTCTGGTCGCATCATTACAAAGATTTCGCGTTTACTTAATCGGTGTCAGTTTTAAAGTTGTTACAGACTGTAATTCCCTTCGAGCGACATTTTTAAAAAAAGATTTAATACCACGAGTGGCCAGATGGTGGATAACAATGCAAGAGTTTGATTTTTCTATAGAATATCGGCCAGGTAAAACGATGAGTTATATTGATGCTCTTAGTAGAAATCCGCCACTTATGAATAAGGAAAATAGTGAAACAGTTATGATAGTTGAGGAATCTGATTGGTTAAGTACTGTACAGGAATCTGATTCAGAAATACAGCGGATAGTTTCGATTTTAAAAGACCCAGGGTCGATTCGTATTGCCGATATCACGAAAAATTATGTATTACGTAATAATAGGTTATTTCGTGTGACTGATCAGGGTAATGAATGGGTAGAAGCGGCCCTAACGATTTTGATGTGTTGTTGCTGCGTTTGTAATTTTTTTTGATGTATTTAATCATGAAATGATGTATAAATGTTATCAATACGGTTTTTATATTTACAAATGTATTGTATTCTATATTGTTATGATAAAAGTTTTATTGGCAGAAGCGGCCCTTGAGATTTTTATGATTAGTTGTCATCATGTTTGATTTTATCAATTTTGTGATTTTTAATAATTGGATATTTATTGTTTTACATAATATATTGTTGAACAATGTATAATTGGAAACTATTAAGTTAAATATTGTCAAACTATGTAAGTTACATGAGCTACATTAATCAGTATAAATACATAATATAGCCTACACGAGGACGCGTAGATTTGGTCGGATGGCCGAATGTTGGCCTATAATAATGTAATATCATAAAATATATGTAATATCATAAATCACTCTATGAATGTATAATAAATATTATTTGGTATAGATAATAATTATAAACTTATTTAAAAAAATATTAAACTAATTTAATTAAATAAAGTGATTTTGTTGATCCTGTTGTTGAACTATTTTAAGTCAATTGATTGTCTCGGGTAGTTAATAAAAATGTGACACTGTCTTAATATAGCTCAGTTCTTAATCAACTTTTGTAAAATAAGGAATAAGAAAAGTGATTGTGTAAGTGTTGAAACGTGAGAGTAAATTCACTAAGTGCAAGTAACGTGTTTTATTGAAAAAATCGCCAACCCAGAAGTTAGTGCCAACACAATATAAAAAAGGAAATTTATTATTTACATATGGTAATAATTTGTGTTAACTGGAAAAACTGAAGCAAATCTGTCCCACGGGAACCGTACATTTTTCCGGGGTAAAAAGTAGCGTATGTGCTATTCCAAACCATAATGTATCTCTGTGCCAAATTTCATACAGATCCGTTCTGCTGTTCTGGCGTGATTGAGTAACAAACATCCATCCAAACATTCAAACATCTAAACTTTCACATTTATAATATTAGTAAGATTAAAAATATTATTTTTGGTAAAGCAACAGTCCACAGCCCTAGCGGATTGAGCAAGTGTCAAATCACTTGGTACATGCGTGTTGCAGTCAGTCGTAAAACAGGATGGAGATCAACTACATAAAATTGATTCCAATCTCCAGTTCATCATGATTCCATTCTTTTATTGTAGGATATTTTATAGCAATTTAATTTAAAAAAAATGCTTTGTATTTATTACTAGTAATACTACCTAGTAAGTAATGTTTATTTTCCCGGACTACTTGGCATGCGGTATAGTGAGTACACTATGCCATTTGATGCAGAGCAATAAAATATGTGTCTATGTGTACATATTATGTATATAAAAATAGCGTCAATAAGTTCGTCCCTTGCTCCGTCGAAGAAGGAAAAACAAACAAACACATTTCCATATGTCATTAATAATTGATTATTATTATTTATTTAATTAAAATTTTAATAAGTAATTACTAAGTATATACCGAATTTTTTTTTAATTATTTTAATTAAATCATTTTTTAAATTGATTGCAAAGTCCTTAATGCTCTATTTTCTGAGTTAAATCTTGTTTATTATGGCGTATATAAATTAAAATTTATGTTCGTTTAACATAATACTTTCTTAGATTTACGCGAATGTTTGACATTATTGAATAAAACTATCTTTTCGGATTATTTCGCGGATTTATTTTGATTTTTGGTTCCCGACGTTTCGAATGCTTTACAGCATCCATGGTCACGGGAGAGACTGAGGTGTTACATGTCTTAAAGATATAGTTGTTACAGACAGCCTACCCACAATTAACAAAATGAAAATTGCACCAATTACATTACAATATTTTTAACTTTAAACATTTTTTATAATTTTAATTATAATTGAATATGGAAAATTATTTATTTAATTTTTGTTATTATTTTTATAATTATTACAATTTTAAAAATATTAATTAGTAATCTATATTTAGTGTTGCCATTATTATATTTATAACCATAAATAAAAATATAAAAATATAGTATTAATTATTAAAGCCATATAATTGTTCTATGTGTAATTTAAAAAGTTAAAATTAATTACGGATAATCATATTAATTTAGTTTGCTATTATTTAAAAACAACTTACTAAGCAACACTATTAAAATATACTTTTACAAATGAAAAATATTAATCTGATAAGCTGTCATTTTGATCTACACAGTATGAACTTACTACATCTGCCTGTCTGTTATGTTTATATTTATTATTTGATTTTATTATATTAATAACAGGATCCCATGACGATGGTAGTACCCAGCCATCTTCCCTATTGAAATTTGGATGTTTTTTAATTTCTATGGCTTCTCGAATCATTCTAGGGCGATATCGGTTTTCTTTCGCCAGGATTTGAGGTCTATCGAAACGAATATAATGGCTTGGGCGGTCCTGGCTATGTTTGCAGACAGCAGATGTTGTATTGCGACGGTGCTTCACATCAGCTATGTGTTCTTTGACCCGGGTTCTAATGGATCGCTTTGTTTGTCCAATGTAAGAGAGCCCACAATCACAATCAAGCTTGTAGACTCCTGCATCTTGTAGAGGGATGTGGCACTTGACAGGTGGTAAGAACTGACTAATTTTCTTTGGCGGCTTGAAGTAAGTTTTAATTGAAGCTCGCTTTAGAATGTAGCCAATCTTGTCAGTGACTCCTTTCATGTATGGCAAGACTGCAGGGACGCGCTCGACTGTGGCTGGTTTCACTCGGTCACTGTGACGCCATGATGACCATGGATGCTGTAAAGCATTCGAAACGTCGGGAACCAAAAATCAAAATAAATCTGCGAAATAATCCGAAAAGATAGTTTTATTCAATAATTTATGTTCGTTTTTAAAAATGTAAGTTATATAAATACACATACATATACGTATGTTCGTCGTAAATATTTGATATTATATATTATAAACACTATAAAGCTTATTCTCATTACAAAATATTTACATATGTTTAACTACGTCATCTCTGAAGTTTTATTTAATTGGCCACCGGTATATTGTATACATAATTAAATTAAATTCAAATTGATATTTTAGTAAAGAAACTTATAGAATAATATTCTAGAAAAGCCTCATTAATAGGTCGGATCCCGTCAATTTTATTTAAATCCAGTTGATATGCTAATTCAATTGTATATTTTATTTTAAACTGGTTTGATATTTGTTATCTCTCTCTTTTTTTCCCCTTTTCTAAGTATATTAATCTTATAATGTTAAATGAGCAATTCTTGTACATATCAATTTCGTGTATCTCGGAAACGGCTCTAACGATTTGGATCAGGTTTTGTATTCATAGAAGGTTTTGTTTTTTTTTTAACTTTTATTATATTAACTTTTATTATATTGTTATGTGCGCTTTATGATATACATAACTGCTAAACTCAAAGAATTTAAAATTATTACAAACTAAAGACTCACCCTCGCTCCGTTCGGGTTCGTCCCTACTTACATTTTGACTTTTAACGTTTAGTATAGATTTCTCAGAGATGAGATATTTTTCCGCAGTAAAAAGTATCCTTTATGTTGACCCGGATAACCAGGTACTATCATACCAAATTTCATCGAAATCCCTCCTGTGATTTTTCCGTGATGCGGTAACAGACAGACAGACAAAAATTCTAAAAACTATAGATTCGGCCTCTGTATCGATAATAATGTCTATTTCAATAAGTTTTTCCAAAAAATATTTGATGTACAGATTCGGCATAGTTAGAATTTTATTATATGTATAGATAAATGTGATAAGATACCAAAGCTGGAATCACATCCACAACTATCGGCGAAAAGGTTTGAGTTTCCCTCTTACATTATGCCTTCAGTGACTTATAATAATTATATCTTCTTTTTTTAAACGGCCTTTGTCATTAAATAGCGTTTCTTTGTTTATATTTAATTCGCATTCTACATACGTACATATATACGAGTATATACTCATATACATATATCTTATAATCTCTATAATTATTTTAAATAAATAATAAAATATAATTATCTTAATTATTGTTAGATATATGTTACATAACACTCTAAGTGCACTTAGACGTTTCGGCAAATAACATATTTCTAAGAATGTCTGCAACATGAATAATACGTCATCCGCATTTTATTTCCTTTGTATGTGTTACATGACTGGGCATGCAGCCGTGTTTAATGTCCCACTTACTGAGAAGTTGTATTAACTATATTGTACTCTGTCCCTCTTGATTTTGCTTAATATATTTATATTTTTATTCTAATATTTGCTCAAAACCTAATAGTTGACTCATGTATATTTTTTCCAATTGAACATATAATTGGCCACTTTTCCAAACTTTCGTTAATATTTACTACGAATACGAAATATTTCATACGTAGATATACGATTTACATTGTGACACAGTGGATTACAACGGGCTGTTCTCGGAATACGTCATACGTTTTATTCTTATTCATTTGTTCAAGAAATCTTTATATTTTCATGTCAGGGTTTTTAGTTCTAGTATATTATACAGTTAATTATAATTTATTAGCCTTACACTTTTTATTTCTCCACGCTATTTTCTTTACGAAAACAAGGAAAAATATATGCGCGATGATAAGATTTATACGGAACTCTAAGTCTAATTTATTGTTAGTGTCTAAACAAACTACATACAAAATACCACCAAACCTGCTACTCCTGTAGTGGTAGCCAGTTCTCATAAGCCTAAACCTATCTAACGAGCATGCCATACGGTGCCATAGCGGCCATGAATCAAGATTATATGTTTTTCTGCTTAATTTAATTACATTTAATAACCAACTCTAAATACGTTTTAACGATGATAGGATCATTACAACAGGCTAACAGCTCTCGAGTATCATTCGTTAGTTTATCAATTTAACATACGACTTATTCAAGTGCATGACTATGGCTTAAGATGTTAGACCACCATCATGGATAAGTTTGTTTTACGTCAGAAATATAAGTAGGTAGGTATATAGAAATTAATATAAAATTCTCATGGTCAATCATTATGAATATAAACAAAAGTTGCGTATTTTAATCATATTAGCACTACAATGGTGTCAATGTTACACCGTTCTGAAATATATGATGTTTAATGTTATTTAGAATTTCTTGCTTATATTTTACACACTACGAGCTTTTGCAGGCTGACTTTGCTTTATATTTCAATAACTCTTTATTCTGAATTTAATTTAAATCCATCGGACCATTACAGCATTAAGGAACAAAATACCTCCTTGAAATACAAAATTTTTCAATTATATGTGGTATGTCATATAGAGTTATAGTGTATTGAAAAATTGGAAGTCAAGAAAATATAAGGCTTAAGATCAAATATAAATATCAAATAATATACACGCTATATATATTATATGTCTGAACAGTTTTACTTGTACACACTACACAGTTTCGTTAAAAAAATGAAGAAAAGAAAGAAGCAGAAAACAGAAAGTTTATTAAAATATTTGAATAATATGCTTACTAACATTATTATATTGTGGCAACTGGCATAGTTGTTTTATATTTTTTCGACTTGACACTTATGTAAATATTGGTTATAAGTACTCTTTGATATTTCTAGAAAAATGTTCAGGAGTGGCGGCTTTGAATACTTCACAACGTTAAGATGTAATTTTAATATCCTTCTCAATTTTGTTGTATGTATAAGCGATTGTCATTGAAGAATATCATCATTTTGCTAAAGCTCGTAAAGCTCGATAGGAAAAAGTCTGAAGATAATAATTAATAGATACATAAATCTTTTTTGTAATTTTTCGTACAGGTCGCTCAGGACTCAACCTTATAATTTTATATAAAGTTTAAAAGTAAAATTGCTTGTTCCAGATGCTCAACGCTGATTGATGGCGCGTTGACTCCTGAGCGACCTTCGGCGGCAGAACTATCTGGTCTTCTGGATCCGGACTAAATATATAGAGAAAGATAGAAAGAAAGAACAATATCTTTGAAATCTATTTAAATCGTCCTTGAATTCTTGGATCTCGAGCTTTTAACTTTGCTTCATTGTAGCGAAATAAATTGTAAGATTATGACCTAATGGTAATTTTGTTTAAAGTTTGCTTAGTATTAGTTTTTCCAAACTTGTTTATCATTTTTATATTTATTAATATTTATTTAGTTATTAGTTACAACTTTCTCATTATACTTCGTTTGTGACACAACTTGTTAATGTTATAAATAGCCTTTGTTTTTAATCTATTATCTTAAATGTACATTTCTTGCTAAAATTGTAATTATCTTATTTTATTCAAAATTTTAAGTACAAGTTACTAAGTACTTTAAAATATTTGAAGTAACTTTGATTTAAATGTTGAAGTTCACACAGTGTATACTAATTGTTATTGAAAAAAAAAACTATCTGAAAAAAGAAATGGATCTCAAATAAAAAAATGAAGTTTCTTTGTAGTAAATAAACAGACGGTTAAAATTGTTTTATTATATATTTTTTTTAATTAAAACTACCAAAACTGTAGTACCTTAAGTAATACATACATTTACACACAATTTTATGTTTGCAACTTTTATTAATAATTCAGATATGTTTCTAAGAAAAATCCAGAGTGTCGTGAGAACAGACCTTTATATGGCGAACTGAAAATTAGTATTTTCCCACATTGTAGCCGCAAGCTGTACATTCCTTCTGACTCAGAGGCGGAAAGTCACTGTTCTGATTAATTTTTAGATTTAATTTTATAATATAAATCATGTTATTACGTACTACTTTGTTACTCATATTAGTTTTGGTCACGCACAGTGGTAACGAAAGTGCAATGCAATGAAGGTCACCAGTTCGATCTACGTTTTAAAATATCTGTTTTGTTTTGCAGACTTAGCCATGGATGAATATATTTGATAGTCTTATGTTTATTGTGATAAGCAAGGTATTTATTATTTAGGAAGAATGAAAACTTTTAAATGTATACAATATAATTAAAATAATTTGGCGTAAGCATTACCAGAGACAATATAAACAAGGTTTGTGGTTAACGTGTTTATTAAAATTATTGTTTATTTTCAAATTATTACGTGATAAAAGAAGCAAGCAATTTAATTTTAGCTTTAAAAGAAGGTCTTATTAAAAGAAAGGGAACATTTCAATGTCATTCACAACGAGCAAAAAGTTATCACGTGCATTGTTCTTATTTTAGGATACAAAAACTGACTACGCGATAGCAAGCAGATTTCTGATAATTACGAAGCAAAGAAAATTTAACCTTTTTATTTTATTATTAATATTATGATAATGTAAACTATTTAAAATGAATATCAATAACATATATTATTATTAAAAATTATTATTAAAAATCTCTATCAACTTTAAACAATCTCTGCAATTATTATTTTTTTGTATAATGATTTTAATTAATTCATATAAAAAAGGGAATGACGCACGGTTGTGATTGTTTCGTGATTATCATTAAAAATTGAAAATAGCATAGATTTATAAGTCTGAATGAAATTATTTTACATTTTCAATCATTTACTTGCTTTAGAGATTCGTGGAACATATACAAAACAATTTAAATCTAAACAAAAATGTATGATCAATGTCGTGATCAATTTTCTATGATTACTTTAATATTAAACTTACTATTATACCATACCTATATAATCTAATCACCATGCCAGGCGGTCGTCAATATTTATCCAAACTTAGTCATCATTAAATATTATTTATTATACTATGATATTAAATTATAAAATAAATATTAGTTTTAGAAAAAAATATTATTTGTCTATATAATGGCTATTTGTTTATTAATCGTTGCCGCAAATGGCGGGTTCTATGGTGTATTATTTAGCGCTTGCCACACTAATTGTTTGTATTGGTATTGTTTTGCTTTGGACGTCTAGAACTTTTGGCAACATTTAATTTTTTCTGAAGGATCCTCTATGGGATAGTGTAAAATTATATTATAATATGTACAGTTCGGAGGCAAAACAAGCTGTGCTACTCTCTGGTCCGTATATTAAGTTTTTAGAAAATTTACGTCTGTTCGTGCGTTAAAAAGAGACAAAATAGTAAACACTCAAAAACTCAAAAGCATATTTATTATTATATAAATCTCCAAACAATCATAGATTAATGTTTTGAATTTTTATTGTAATTTTAACGCACTTCTCACCTTAAATAGTTTTTAGCTAGACTTAAAATATCTACCTACATATATGATCATATTCGTTGTGTGATTTATGAACGAATCGAATCCGCGTCTTCCGTCTCAGTAGACAGTGCAGTATAATAGCACACACAAAAGCACAAAATTTAAGCATTTTAAACGAAATTTACGCGAAAAGTTTCGTATAAGCAAATTTCTTTTAAAGTATTTTTTTTTAATTTTTCATCGTTTTTACAATGGACTTATAATTTATTCATTTAAATATTTGGACAATGTGTCAATAAGTAATTATTATATTTGATTTAAGATTATTTGTGGGACTAAAGTATTATCTGAAACATTCCTTTGTATTATAAAAAAATAAAATGTAATTGTGCATTTAGGTTTAATTATAACAATCAAGAATAACAGAATACTGACATATCATTTTTTATTGTATAAATGGATACTATTTTTATATAATAAGTTGTTACTTTGTTTCCAATAGCAATAATTTACCAAATTTTTTCTTGCCTTAATTATAATGAAATTAATTATTGAAATTTCCTCATGTGTATATGTTTTATAATTAATTTCAATTTATGAATAATGTTAATTTTCTTATCTTATCAAAACTTGTTAATCGTTTTCTGTATTATAATAATGAGGTTCACGTTATGTGTGTCGCAGTTGATTTTTAATAAAGCTTTCCGTATATCAATGATATTCATATTATTATTATTATATTTAATTTATTATTATATAAATATATGTATGAATGTTATATTATAATTTAATAATATTTCGCTGGACTTTTAGTTAATTTCATCATCATCTTTGAAATAACAGCTATGTTTCCTATCAAAAACCGGAACATTCTCTAGTTAAGTTGTTATTTCTTTATTAGCAATTATCAGTTGATAAGTTTGTTCACATTGAAAAACAGTCAACTTATTATTTAATCTGGTTTCTACATATAATTTTCTTACTTGAGTGGATAAAGTGTAAAATCATGGAACCAGAATTAGCTATCATTTGTGGGCAATTTAGGACCAATTCTAAACACAGGTAGAGAAAATTCCAAGCCAACATTACTTTGCTTTAGTTTATTACTCGTGTAGCAGCGTTTATTGATATTACATTCATGTAATAACAATAAAAACTCTACAACTACGTAGGTATATCGTCTATAGCTAGACCATGGTCATAAAATGAGTAAACCGTTTGATAATCGTAACTTCTGTATGAATATTATATTATGTACATTTTTATTCAAACAATTGCATTGCAACATTTTTTATTTTCATTTTTATTAATGAAACGTATTATACATAAAGATTATGATATAATATCTAATCTACATACTTGTAAAATTTAAATTATAGTTGTTTTAAGGTTATTTATACCATAAAAGTATTATTTGAAGCATTCCTTTTGTATTATAAAATATAAATTATATTATAAGGCACTTATAATTAACAGACTGTATTTTAAAACAAACACCATCGATATATTATACAGTGTTATTTAAGCTTTATATTTTATTTCATTTATGCGATTTGTATACAGCAATAATAGTTTGTAGTGTTCTTATACCAATGCGTAGAGTTAAGTCCACGATACATATTTAAATAAATACTATGCGTATGATAATAAATTTTATTAAAAGTTTAAATATTTTGTTTACTTTTACGCCTGCTGTAATGTCTTAATTGTGGTAATTATACCTTATCACGTAAAAATATCAACTCGCTAATATGTGTAGATGGCCGTAAAATTTGTACCGTTAAATAAATCTTGATCATGTTGAAAAAACAGGTTAAATTACGAGCTAGAAACTTTTGAACTTACTTTTAGAGGCTATAAATATACAGTTTTCTATAATTGAGTGTTAAGATATATTATAGCTTTCTGTAAAGCACTTCGCAGACACTACATATAAAAATAGACAATCATTTGCTTATTTAATCAATGGAATAAATAAATTGCACCAGTAATGTTATGAAAAAAAGGCAGGAAGAAGAAGAATTTAATTTGTCTTTACTTTCAACTTAATTTTGTTAACGGCTTATATATTTTAAAGCTTTTAAGCTCAATAGAGATTAAAGTCCGGATATTATGTTGTATATGAATTTTACGTTGTTTTATTGGATATTGCATTACGCCTAAATCTTTGAGATGGTGTTTATTTTCTCCATTTAAAACAATACATTGTTTCGGGTGCGATTCGGCGATCGGGTGCACCTTTCGTTATCCCATATTTTTATTCAGAATTGGTTACCTATATGTATGTTTTAACAATTTTCTCGTGGGAATGAGCTTTTCTCATTCTTACTCCCCTCAACTTAGGTGCCATTCATTAATTACGTAAGGACAATTATGGCTATTTTTGACCCCCGCAACCCCCATGCAAGAGCAATTTTATTTTGAAGGAAATTATTTAATTAATACAATTTTTTTATAGTTTGAAATTGACTCTTATTGACACTTTTCATGCATTATATGCATATTTGACTTTTTTATGTTGCATATTCGATCTCCAGTTATTATTATTTTTATTATCTACTACGTATGCTAATACAAGTGATAGTTTCCATCTGATTTAGGCAAAACATAGTTGGCATTCAACATCCAGCTCGTATCTCTTTGATACGACACGCAGATGATGATAGTGAAAAGTAGCTGTCTACATCCAATATTAAAATATATTTTTTAAATATCTTCTTTTTCTTAGTCGTTCTCTATTGTCAGAGTGGTCGTGATCATGTCTTGGTCGAGTCTTGCGCCACCGCTTCTCTCGTGATGC